TTGTGCATAATTCTACAAGCGACCATGTAGGTACGGGTACTTATGACCATGATTACTTCCAAGAACACCGAGATAATGAGGACAACCATTCTCATTAGTAGACGATAGTCTACGCAATTGCCTATCGCCACCGGGAGCGCTTCCTTAGCCATATCCCCACGCCCCGTCACCTTCGTCCTCTCCAACCACCTGTCGATTTCTCCTCCACCCCTTCCCTTCCCCTTCCCTCTCCCTATCGGGAAACCCTATCGACCCCGTGCGTAGCGCATGCCGTCGGGGCTGATTCCAACATATCCTAGGCAGTGGTTTCGGAGGCCCACCGCCGCTCCGCCCCCATCCGCCTCATTTGCCTCATCCGTCTCCTGCGCCTCCTCCCGCACCTCGAACGCCTTCGCCACCTCCGCTTACCTCCGCCACCGCCTTCGCTCTCGCCGCTAGTCCCCTCGTGGCGGCCGCCTCCGCACAACCCACTCGCGCCTATTACGTCTCCATCAACGCAGCCGCGCCGCCTCCGTCATCGCCTTCTGCGGCGCCGCCTCCGCGTCCATTGTTACCGCCTCAGCGCCCCGAGTGAGCGAGTGAGTATTAATTCGGGCACGTCAATTGTTGAGGATATTAGTTCCGTAAGCGATTTTCATTTATTGCTTAATCATGGTTTACAGTATTGATTTTGAGGGGTGCTGTTATACTAATCTAAATCTAACTACTATTACCTACTGCCTATAACCGTTAACCGACTGACAATTAACGACTGACCATTAATTCTATCTAATATGTTTTTCAAACATTGAAAATATACCTCTACAAAAATTATGAAATACCCTTGAACGTATAATGTAACACTTTACCTACTGGGAGTGTCTGCCTGCTATTGAGCTAGGCTCTTGATTCTTATAAACTAAACTGGGGTTTTAGAGCTTGCCAGCTTAAACTTGCGCCGGTACGTAGAATTACACACGATTTGTTTGCACGCACACGTAGGCGCTTTTACACGCTTGTTTATCTTCACCAGTTCACCCCATAGTTGCCCGGCGGGGCATATGCACTGTTGGGCCATCTCAGGCATTATGAAAGGCGTCTCTGTGGTCGGCGGTGCAGTCCGGGTGGGCTTTTCCATCAGGCGCCGGGACGGAAAGGGCCGTTTGTCGTGGCCTGGCAACCTGTGAGGGACAGATAAGTTGGGTAGGGGATGTTATATCCCTGGAGGTGGCAGTGTTCTTTGTCCGCTGGCACGTGATATCCAATGCCGACCTTACACGCTGGCTTGCGGTTTTTTTTTCTCCCTGAAGACGTTTTCCGCATTTGCTCTACGCGGGCACCATTTCAGCCGGAACAACATCCCAACTGGTCTTCAGATAAGTGTGGTAGTGTCGTTTCTTTATATAAGATGACAAAGGAAACATGATTGTGAGATTGCGCGGTTAGGTCCGTGACTGTATTATTAGGAATCTGCCCCGGTATTCGTACACACAGATCAGTGCAAACGAGAGTTGGACTCTCTTCTAGGTACTGTCTGAATTATATCCACATATCTAGGTGGCGTCAAAAAAAACTATCGTCATTGGGATTCCAGCCCTAGGACCTCCATGTCAACGATGCTGTCGATGAACCTCAATGCCGTCGCATAGGTTCACCGCCGTCTGCGTCACTGCCTCCACCGTCGTTTTCTCACGGTGTACTCATTCATGTCTTATAATGTCTCCACCACCACCGTCACCTTCTCCACATCTTCGCATTTACCTGTCGCCACTGCTTCCACAATCACCGTCTCTCTGCCACCGCCGCCACTTACACCTCCTTCGACACTATATCCCCTTCGCCGCCTTCACTGTCACTACCTTCACTTGTCACCACCTTCACAGTCACCAACTTCATCGTCACACCCTCCACAATCCGCCTCCCCCCTTCCCAGTCACCCTCGCCACCTACTCCTCCTTCGACACCGTCTCCACTGTTCTCGCCACCACCTTCACCATCAACAACTCCACCTACAGTCACCGCCTCCCCGTTTGTCACTACTACCGCTTATACCTCCTCCGACACCATCTCCACTGTCCCCGCCGCCGCCTTCATCCACGTCTCCCGCATCGTCACCACCTTCACCACCCCAGCCTCCGCAACCACCCTCGTCCCCGCCCCCGTCATTGCCGCCGCCGGGTCGCCCACCCACGCCCGGCGTCCCCTTCACCGGCGCCACGAAATATGAGCTTTGAGATCGGGGCCTCGTGTTCGGCGCCCGGGGAGGGCGGCGCGCTGCACGAAGGGGGACGAGGCGTGGGAAAATGACGTGGCTCTGCGTTTAGTTATGGATTTAGGGCAGGCGGCGCGCGCTCTTGCTGAGCATGACGTGGTTATGGATCAATTTGAGCCAGTTCGTGGTCTTGGGGTCTAGATAGGATGCTATTGAAATATTCGGCCCCCTTTAACATCGTGTTCGACGGTGTTATCTCCATGATTCACCGATTTTATGTTCGTTAATATTTGCATTCTTCTCCCTCCCTTTGACAGGCGTGAGAATATTGAAGGTAAAAGTAGCTATGTGTTCCCTGCTTGGAGCTGCACTAAATATGCCATAATTTGGTTTTGAAATTATGAAGGTGAACTTTCATAGATTGTTTTTAATTAGATGATTATTGTAAGGTTTGCAAAATATTGTATTGTAGTACCAAAAATTTATCTTATGGTTCAGATGAGGGCGAAGTAAACACTGAAACGTTGGCATAAACAAATATTTATTACAAAATTCCAATTGTTTTACTGTCAAGACACTCCTACATAGTAATAAAATAACATATTATATTAATATAAGACCAAGAACGCAATATTTTTACTTTATAATAATAATAATAATAATAATAATAATAATAATAATAATAATATTAATTTAACTTGCGCTTCTTTCTTGGACAGAAAGAAATACAGTCTTGTGCTGCCATATTTGTGTATTTTCATATGATTGTTTTAACAATTCAATGTAATATATCACAAACTATGAAAGGTTCAAACATGTCATCTCACTTGCCATTTTCGCATTGTAATTGACATTCTTGACCAGAAATATCAATTCCTGCTTAATTCAAAAATGCATTTTCATGTTTCCCAACGATATAACGTATTCTATATCTTCGCCGAATATTTTACACCTGACTTGTGAATGTTTGGTCGATAGTACTGAGAATAATATCAATCTACTCTTTCAACTCCACGAAATGAAAGAGTAAATATATTGGAGTATATGTTTCTAAGCATACAATAACTCTCTCTAGTTCCAATGCAGATGTATGATAGAAAATTTGTTGGATAGAAAATTTGGAAAGTACGTTGGATAGAAATTTTGCTTTCCTTTGCGGATGGAACATTTTCTAATTCTTGTTTTAGTATCACAGACCGTCTATGATAAAAACTCTTCAAAATGTTAAAGGTTTTGTCTCGTTATTTTCAGAAAAGACAAAGATATTCGTTAAGTTAATTCAATTAAGTCTACTCTTCTAAAATAAGTCTAAAGTTTCCCATACTCTGGTTATTTAACGTTGAGTGTTGTTTCGGCTGTGCACTTAGGTGCCGTCCATTTGATGTGGCATCATCATTACATATTCGGAACTTTGAAACTCTACTCTGCCCACTAAATGGCAGTTCTAGACTTCAAAGAAACTTGGAATCATGCATTCAGAAAATTAAATGGGGATTAAACATCTAAAGCTGTTGTTGCACTCCTGAATTTATACTTATCGTGCTTCACATTCATTCCCAAGCAGCAACCAAACTAAGAGAATACGCGATTCTTAATTTCAAAATGAAAGTCTTGTTATCAGAATGTCGTGTCCAAGGTGGCAAAGAAATGGTCAATATTTACAAATGTATCTCTGGATTTCAGGCGGATGTAAAGACAAAAAGCGAAAGTAATATTTATTGTGATCTGAACAATGAACCACGATGAGATGGAACACTTAGGCGTTTGCTAGCAACTGTAATCGCAGTGCGAGAAAGGAGAAGGGAGTGAACTGTGCTTTTGGGAACCGCCAAAAATCTGTGTGGTGGAAGAATTCACAATCATTCACGTCTGTTCCTTTGGAAGTTGCAGTGAAAATACAGTCGACTGAAATTTTATTTGGAGTGTGTAAAATCTTCGAATAGTTAGTATTTTGTATCGAGAAAGTATATTTCTAAGATTTTGTACCAACATTTTGAATGAAGAATATGAGCTTATGGATGCTGAAGTCGAGTTGATCTGTATTTATCTGCCATTAACCATTATGTATGTTAACAAGCAATGTAATTGTTTCTCCAGTCGCTGTCTGGAGGAGTAATCTAGTGGCTGGCTGCTCTGATCGTTAGCTTTCCGTGGTTTCTCTGATCAACACCAGGCGAATGCCGGAACAACAAACAATCTACTGTCCGCCCGCGATCTTTTCTATCTCTTCCGTGTTCCATGCTCACCCCTTACTTGCACACTTTTAATTATACTTACACCACCACACATTGCGGGGGACCGGTCGGGAGCTTAGAGCTTGTCCAGGCTGGAACGGTGCCCGGCTGGTGGGAGATACGTGGTTGGGGAAAACCCCGTTAGCCGACGGTAGGTCGGTGTCGGATCTCGCCATCCAGCGGGGGAAGATCACAGCCACCTCCCGAGGACGAACATACACTACAATTACGGGAATACTGACCATAGACGTGGAGGGCATGCCTGGAATCATTTTGACACTCGATCAATCAAAATGATTTCTATTTTGTACTTAGAATCTACCCCTAAGACCCGCCGTGCCTTCTGACAACAAATTTAGTGTCTCCTATTTTAGAAGCGTAGTACCTTTACATTCTAAACATCCTTCGCCTCTTGTTTCCATCACTCCCTCACTTCCAACCATCCCATCTCTCAGGGAGATTTCCCGCTGACGTCTGATCCGCGCGCTTTCCACCCCCACCCTCACCCCCTCCATCGCCATGGCTGTTGCGACGCGGACCGTGGCGCTCTCGCCCTGTCGTTCCCTTCACCCGGTCAGTGCGCGCGCGCCGGTGCGGGCAACTAGATCGACGGCGCACGGTGAGGCGCTAGCCGCTCCACGCCGGGGCTTTCACCATTTCCATCCCGCCGCCGCGCCGCGGCGCCACCGAAGGATGCGCGACGGCCGCTCGCAGCCGCTAAGCCCCGCGCCGTTTGATTCCGACCGCCCCGCGCTCGACTGGGAAGAGGTACGTTGGCGAACGCCGTAAAGAAGTGCGACACTCGGTGGGGGTTATTGGAGAATGATACGAGCGTTACTTGTGATTCTGATTTGTGATGTATTATAACAGGTTTATACATGTAAATACGATTTTTTGTTGAGATTTTTACCTCTCCAGTTGCTCTGGAGAGGTGGGACTTTATTGAATATCTGAGATACAGATTCGCTGCAGCCGGTGAGGCTTTTGCGGCGTGTAAATACGATTGAACATTACGTTTATTGTTATAAATTCAAATTCAATTATGTTAAATTTTAAGAACATTTGTTCTCATTAGCTATAAAAATAACCTAATGACTGTCTGTTATTTTAATTATTAATTAATTAGTACGTTCTGCACAATAATAGACAGCCGATAGATTAAAACACAATAAGAATTTGATTGTTGATTTTATATAGACGGTTATACACATATTTATTTTGTATGGATAAATGCCAATCAATTTTTACTATTCTTGTTGTGTTTTAATCACCGGGCTGTATATAATTGTATGTAACATACTAATCAATTAATAGTTTGTTATCATTAGAAATGAATGCATTTCTAATATATGTCGTAAGAACGAGTATTGTAATGATTGAACGATAAAAGCAAAGGGTCAGAAAATATTTTTCTTCGAAATAAATCTGCATTTTCATTTATTAGAATCTTATAGTATTAATTTGAATATTTGTTATTTTGTCTCGCCCACTACTACATTGCCTAATTTTTAACCCAAACGATATTTGTGGAAGTTTAAGGACTCATTTAGCGATTTAAATATTCTAACCGAGCGCTTCGGAAAATGCATACACCGCGTTGTGGGAATTTCAATTTTTAATAGTAACTTGCCTTATGACTGTTGCAAACGTTCTTTCCATCAACATTTTTTAAGTGTTAAATTTCATCTACAAACAGCTTCTTCTTGACGCATTACTTCGTTATAACGAGTTCACTATTAAATTTTTTTGTCATTATTTCTTTACTCATATTTTGCCTACTCATTAATACATACAAAATATTAAGAACGCATAGTGTGTAAAAACTCGCAACTGTGCTTTGCGTAGCAAAAATGGAAACAAGATTTTTCGCAAATTGAAATTCTCCTAATGCCCTGAAATAATTTTCCGACGCTCTGGTTCTGATATAAACTCTCGAACGTGTTGTGAAATTTGTTTTGAACGTGTTTTAGAATTACGAGGATTCTCAGTACTTTGAGATTAGAAATCAGACATTGTGACAATGCAGCAATTGCGATAAATATATTCACAAGAATGCAAATTTGCCAGAGAATGTAATGGTATACTTTTATTGTAAAAAGGATAGACAAACATTGTTCGAATGTTTCTCTTATAGTTTAGATTTTGGAACAGAAGTTCTTGACATTTTAAGCGGAGCGTGGTTAACCCCCCTCCTTGAAAGATCTTTCGTAGAATGTTGGGAGAATAATCGGGTATAAAATAATTTTTCACCACCGAGTAAAATTATTTTTTGCAATTGTAATTTCATCGAAATAATATTGGACATCGAAGTATTTAAAATTGTGTGCACACTCTTTTCAAATTCAATTATTTCAACAATGACTCAAAAAAGTGTCTGATGAAAAAAAAATTCGATTATTATGTAGTCAAGTTTAAAATTATGAATAATTTGTATTTTTTAAACAATAAATAAAAACGTCAATTGTCTTCGAAATGTCAGCGAAGAATCCGTACATCTGCTTGGCCGCCCCTAACTTCCCGCGCGTGTTCCGAAAGGTATGAGAGAGTCGATCTTTCACCCGGAAGGATGCTGCCGCTGGGCCGATGCTATCTCCAGAGATGCAGCGACGGCGGCGGCCGCTCTGCGACGGGCCTCGGGGTGAACGGTCGCCCCCCCCCCAATTAACGCATGCATGGGAACGCGGGCGGCCGGCTCCTTTTGGGCGCGAGAAAACAGCCGCCATTTCGTCACAGTGGATGATTGCATCGGGATCCGGAAGCCGTTGCGTTATGCAAAGCGCTGATTACCGAAAGGATGAAGCTGCGTAGGAACATTTGCGCACGCACTACCGAAAGAGCACTGCAATTATTTCATAACAACATCCTGTCCCAAGTGGGTTAAAAGAAACGAAACTTCAGAAGAAACTATGCAAAACAACCGGCGGGTGAAAACAATATGCATTGAGTTTTGCATTTTTACCCGATGCAAGGCATTTGAATAGAATTTACGGACAAAATGTATAATAAAAGAGCAACATTTACAATTCTGGAATTTCGATGTGATTCAGTAAATATGGGAGAGGTCATTAAGAAGCGTACTCATGTAATGCTTATGTAATTTAAAATTTACAAACCAAACTAGTATTCTGACCGTCGCATTGAAACGTTTTGAATATATATGCCATTAAACACTCAGATTAAGGCATGAAGTGGTAAATGTGTATTGAATGCAAAGATTCTTAATGTTGATGCAGAAAATTAGCAAAATGGAAGAAAAATTGTTTAATTACTTCTCAACAAGTAACAAAACACGATTTTCCTCTTAAACAGAAAAAAAAATTATACTGCTCTTAAGAACGGTGAGCTGATGTTTAATTAGCGCAATAGGGCAAATGATTTTATAAACTTCATTCGAGTAGTATATTTACACTCATTGCTGGAAAAAAGAAACAAAAGAAAATGAGTCGCCGCGTCAAAGTCTCAGGGGTTGTAGACTTGCGGGCCTGCATTAAGGAACCCCCTACTCATCGAAGCATGCATAGTAAAACTGTACGAAAAGTGCGTATTTATGTAATAGAGTATCGCCGATTTTCGGCACTGATACATGAAATATCTTGCAAAAAATGAAGGCAATAAATATATCATATTAGTAAGGCTAATTATATTCATGTATGATTGTTTTGAATAACCACCCTCTAGTCGCATAGTCTCCGAGTCTTGCGCGTATTAATTACATCCAGTATCTCAGTTGCTTCTCAAAGGAATACGAAGATCAGTGGAGGAAGATTTAGGAGAATGTAGTCAGCTCATCGGATGGTTGTGGAGGCAAGTTGTAGAAGGAATGATCGTGGTTCTTTGCACATAATGCCTTAAAATAAATTTGTTTGTCAGGCACATTCAAACACTTCGACTTAACAGAACCTGCTAAAACCCACTGTGGGCTGCCTACCAATGAGATATATTAATAACTTTGTTAAATGAGATTCCACTCGTCATGTCATTTTACAGGAGAAAAGTAATCATCTTCGACCCTCTCTTGCCCTACAAGTTTGTAATACTTATTTTGAAATGCCGTATGTAAGTAAAAATCCCACAGAACGCCGATCAGAGCAGTCGACATTGATTTCTCTGTCCGGGATCGAACTCTGCCATCATCCACAAGCGTTTTATGGCGCCACAGTGCCCCAATAGTCGCTGACTTCAGTGTCGATAATAATAATAATAATAATAATAATAATAGTAATAATAATAGTAATAATAATAATAATAATAATAATAATAATAATAATAATAATAATAATATGGACCGGATTAGGTGTCTCCGGGCATTGATGTCACAGTAGTGCTTATCACCGAGAAGATTTTTTCTACGAGTCGCGACGGTAGTAGGATTTTTGACACTATCTAGGTCGAAGTCACTTACTGTTTAGAGCAAATTCTAGCGCCCGGCTGTTCTTATCGTATCTGTTCTAATCAGGAAATTCTCATGGTTTCTCCAATTAACACGACGTGAATACCAGAGCGGTAGTCTTAACAAACGTGCCACAGACCACACGTGATTTTTCCTTTCTGTTCCTTGCATTATTCTCACCCCTTACTTGCACACACATGTACGTGCATTACACTACCACACATGTCTGGAGATCATTAAAAGCTAACAGCGTGTCCTAGCTGGAGCCAGCTTGTCCCTCTGATGAGATTCCTAGTTGGGGAAAACCAACGAGTAGGATGGTGCTTGATCTCGCCATTCAGCGAAGGAAAAACAGCACTGATGCTATGGTAAAAACATTTGTTACACCTACGGGCGGAATGACATTAGCAGTTGATGAGCCGGGATTGATTAATTGGTGTTTCCAAGCGCTTCAAGTGCTAAAGTCATTACGCCCGTAAGTGTAGTGCATTTCTCGCTTGAGGTGGCAGTGATTTTCTTCAGCTGAATGGCGAAATCCAGTGCCGACCTACATTAGTAGTGTGGTTTTCCCCAATTAGGTATCATCCTCCATCGGGACATCGTCCCAGTCAGAAAAGCTCCGAGCTTCCTGCTGATCTCCCGACATATGTGATGGTGTTGTGCATGTTAGTGTAGGTGTGTAAGTAAGGAGGATACGACAAGGGAGGGGAAGGAAAGATCTCGCACGCTCCATGGCCTGTTTGTTAGGGTACTGCTCTGGTATTTACCTAGGGTTATCGAAGAAACTACAGACAATTACCTCCTAGAGCAGTCGACCGCTAGAATGGTCCTCCAGACAACGGCTGAATTCGACGTAACAATGAATCTTGTCTCAAAAATCCTACCACTGTTGGGTCTCGTACCCTAGGACCTCCCGGTCAGAGGAATGCAATGGGGTCAATTGATGCCGTGAGACACCAAAGCCAGTTTGACGAGCACTTAGGCACGAAATTATCAATCAGTGCAATTCCTTCAGAAACAGGAACACAGGGTTTCACAGTTACTAGGACGCATTGTTTTCAAATCATGCACGATGGTAACGTATGTTGCATTCTGTGTACCTGGTATTTTGGGTTGATGGGATCTTATAAGCGTACATAACCATCATCTTTTCTTAGCGTATTTTACGAGGGCCACTGACGTTGTTTTATCATAGTATTTTAAAAAGGAAATCCGGCGAAGGGGATGTTTTCTAAAAAGAGGAGCTAAAACCAAAAAACTAAAAGGGAATTTAATTTAACGCTACATTCTGTTTTTAACGAGCCGAATAGAAGTCGTATACATTATTCCGTGAACCGTATCCATTTTTAAGCGTTCGCGTTGAAATCAGGAATGTTTATAGAAGACTTAATTGTGAGTCACTGTAGACGCCTGGCGCTACGGAAGGAAAGAGGAAAGAAACATTTCTTCCAAAGGTTTTCCTGGTACTATTCCTGCTAGTTTGAATCAACAGTTTAAAAGAAGCGCGACTATTAAATAAGTTTGTTAACGGATCCTGAATTTTCAGAAACAACAGCTCTCTTGAGACGTGCGTTCTTCCGTCCAGAAAGTCCGACAATTTTCCGACAAAAGTCCGACAAAATTTATAAATTAGAAAATAACTACCCTGAAATTTTCGCTTTACATGATTTCTGTACTCTGGAACCGTCTGCATTGTAAACCAGTAAGCTATCATTAGTAGTCTAGCAATCATTTTGAGTTGAATGGTTTGTTATGTATTTAAAAGGGTCAACTATTGATGACATGTCAACTACCGGTGCGTTCACCTTATACACACAATGAAAAAATTTAACGTATCAAAATGTGAAAAAAGATCGCATGATGTTTGCCTTTTGGATTAAAATTGTGCACTTTGACTGTATTATTTATTGATAACATGTTCCTGCGATACGAATGAACTCTCTAAACAGAGAAAAATTTAATCACCTAATCTGTGCCCTTCATGTTTTGTTGACAGAGTAGCAAGATTGAAAATGCACAAACTTTATTTTTACACATTCAAAAAGAATGTTAATGCCCTTCTGATTTTTGCTCATACATTCTGTAAATAATGGGTTTTTGCTAAATTTCCTGCCATCAAATAATTAGCATGACTAATCCATCTTTCACCGTTTGGTTTTTTAACATTGGGGTGGTATTTTTAGCACAAACTCTTGGAATGTAAGTGGTGAAAATAACTGCAGTGTTATCATAGAAAATAATTTTAACTTAATTATTTCCTAACAGTATTATTAGATTAAATACTATATAATTAAGTAAGTTTCAATTTAAGATTACAAATCATCTCTTACGTTACAAGTCAAACAACATTAATCATATAACTGTATAGAGTTATTATGACAGGAACTATTTCAGGAAACGGTTTAAAAAGTGACATGCATATCTACAAATCACTTCATTTGACGATACCTATAATTAATTTTTAGTATTGTCTAACTGTTTTTGTACTACATATAATCTTGGAGGGTGGAAATTCAAAAACCTTTCTGGTCAAGTTAATTGAAAATAAATTATTTTGATTTATGTATGTGAATTGCCCCCTCATGATTTATTTACTCAAGAATAAATGGACTCTACAGTGTCACGTTTGTTAATTTTTTGCGTTCCTGAAATTATTAAAGTAAATTAAGATACGTGAATGTTTTTTAAACCATAACTCATGGTCATGGACCCTTCAACAACGTCACTCACATGAAATTAACCCCAGGGGATGTCAGAACGAAAATTGAGTATGATCAGTTAATTCTGCTTTTTATTCGAAATTTTAATGAAGAGTCAAGCGGATCAGCCCGGCAGCAAGTGTCGAAAAGATACATTGAAATTAACCTGTTAGTGCATGATGATGTGATTGTGATCTTGTTACTTTAGTAGCTCTGCTCTGGTATTAAACAATGTTCTGTTTTCCAAGAAGCAAGTCATTTCAGCCACAAGTTTATAAGAATACTATATTCGTGATTTTTTATTATGAAGTGGAAAGAGGAATATACGTGTGCAAAGTAATACTAGAATTAGCACTTATTTTGCACACTACAAGGCGTAATGAGTCATTTAACTTTCGATTCCTGCTAAATTTTTCTTTGTGTGATATTTGAAGGAATATCTGCTTTACAAACACTCTTACAAGATGTCAACCTGTTACCTTTTACGCCCCGATAGGACGCATATTCGATCATACACTGGGCACCAACACTTCCGGCCTCCTTTGACCTGGTGTCAGCAGAGCGCGAGGCCTTCCGCGACAATACATACATGAAAGACAAGAGACGAACAACCTCTCAAGGAAGAACTCGAACCCGTGACTCTCGAATCGAAACGATAAGTCGGTATACTCTCTACCACCCCAGCCATCCAGGTCGGCTATTTTAAAAGTGTATGGCGTAAAATTAAAAACCGGAGGAAGGCGAGAAAATTTAAGTGAAGAAAAATATTTTATGACGCTAGAGAATATAATTATCGACTTTTTCTGGGGGCATTTAATTTGGAGTAAGTCGCGCTTTATCGCGTATGGGAAGTAAGCGGTGGTAATAAACCTCAAAGTAACAGTCATATACGCTCGTTTGCGTTCCCATTTGAAAATATTATAAATGAAAACAAAGGAAATGTGGCAATTTTTTCTAGAAGATAATCTTGTTAATAACAAAATAAAGATGTTACCTACAGTGCTTTATAATATTTCTAGGCCAATTTCAGGCGATTTTCCTACCATTGGTTCTAAGACGAGGCAATCAAACAATTCTGGACAAGACTGGTCACACAAGTCTATTGGAAGGGGAAAATAGTATACCAGAAAAAGTTTTTTTGAAAATTCAGGATAGCGAGGAGAAAATAAAAGAAATATTTTTGAAAATTAATAAACCCAATACAATCAATTTTTTTTAAATGTGAAAATCTCCTTGAAATGTGTTTCGAACCGCGTGTTAATTAATGATATACAAAATTTCTAAACCATTGTATCTTATTTTTTATTTAGGACAAATGTACAAAATGTTTTACGAATTGTTTTCAGTGGTTTGAGCCTCACGTTGAAACAATTTGAAGAAATTCGGAGAGTACTTTCCTGGGATGTCCGTTGGCAGATCCGTTTATGTTTGTTGGTGTTTCATCAGATATATATGAATTATTTTTCAAATTTCCTCATGTTGCTTTGACGTATTAGACTCTTCTATATAGGCCACTAAGGAAACTGAGGTAAAACATAAATAGGGTTGTGTCTGGTTGTCAAGACGGTTAGCCATCACACTTCGCTCTCCTTCTCAGACAAGTGGATAGGAGCAATCAACAGCTTCCGGTGCTGCGAGGTGTAGATGCGGTTTTTTGGTACTGTGGACTCCTATCGACGGATGTTGGTTTTTGACGATGTGACGTTGGTTTTTCCGATAGGCATTTAAAGACCAACTTCGAACGTACTCACCTCAGTTTCTTTTGCAGACACGACAGCTGCAGTAATGGCTAAGGGGTCCCAAATGCTGCTATTGCTGGCGACGCTTCTCGGAGCTCCAGGTAAGATTCCGCCAAAATAGCAAATTGGTACGGTTATTCCTTTCCGTACAATGAGTTAATGTAATCGTGAAAATTTAACAGTTTAGGTTTGCTTTTTTGTGGATATAATATTTTCACTCTTGTTTACTCATGATAACTTGAGAATTTGGAGCTGGTAAAAATTTGGAACTATGAAGAATATCTACGTCATTACTACCGAAAACATTCTTTGATCTCCAGCCTACCCAAGTGATTCTATCTATCCTCAACTTATATTTGTAAATGTTTTCGTATCAGGGTCATTGTGATACAGTATGTTCTTTCTATTCAATTAAAAGTTTCAGACTTCAATTCGTTTTTCAGTTTTTCTGTCAAAGTATTTGTTTATTATTTTAAACTTCTTTAGACTCTTAAATTTTAAATTCGAGATACATTTCTTAGCTTTAATGATACAATAAATATAAATAGATTTTTTAGATAAATATTTGTAGACGAGATGAGACGAGAGAGTGCTTTGTAATATTTCTGTAAGTCATAATACTTCACGTTCACATGCATTTAATTGTGACACTTCACCAAACGTTCTAAAGAACTAAAGTGTTTCAAAACGACTTCAAAATTGTCCTTTGTGAACGCTTTGCGAATTTCAATAGTATTTAAAATGAAGGTTTTCAATTAGAACTCTACAAATCAGCAAAAATGCTAAATTATGAAAAACTGGATTGGGTACGAGTATTATGTGAATTTGAATATTTTCTAAATTATTTCATTTGATGTATGATGAGTTGAAAATGCAAGTGGTGTAAGTCAGTTTGTTGCAGTGTGTCTGGAAAAGGGGAAATGCATTTGTTAATACTAGCAATTCTACTATCGGGAAAATTATATTTTTGTTGTCTTAACAATAGTTAGAAATTACTGTTGCTAAAATATTGCAAAATATTTGAAACACTTTGTTCTGATGCAAATACATTTCTCTTCATAGATCAGTAGATTAGTTCAAACGGACCCACTTGCATTCTCAACTCCTCATATCACAAACAATCTTATTTTCGCCACGCTTTGATCGAACTCCGCATCCACAGGCGTGCTCTGCGGACTGCACTACGGCCACCAGCTGGCGTCGCCCACCAGCTGGTTCAACGTGTGGTTCTCGACGCCTGGGGAGGGCCAGGCGGGCTCGGCGGGGCCGCTGGGGCCTCCGCGGCGACAGCGGCCCGGCAGCCCTCCCCGTCAGATAGCGCCCTCCTTCGGCTACTCGGCGTTCAACGGTGAGCGCCTGCCTCCACAGCGCACTGCGCACGCTCGCTTCGTTCATTGCCTTCGACATAAGGGTGGTTAACGTTTTACAACTGGGCGCTTAGTTAACTTTTTAAAATGATCTAAGTAATATAAATTAATGGCAAATATAGCATAATGGATAACACATCAACGCAAAGAAATTGTGTTCGTGTCTGGGGATCAGACCGTGTTTTTCATATGTTTTTGGTGTCTCTAAATACGATCCCGTGTCCATTTTACGTCACCACGTTACGTTTTCGACATAACCTCAAAAAATAAAAAAAATATATTTCTAACCAAGAGGTCTGACCATGTTATGTCGTTGAAATCGAATCTGAAGTCCATTTAACTTCATCACATTAGATTTTTCACATAATCTCAAAGCGTTTTTTTAATCCTTTGTATTCTTGGAGAGAAGGCTAGTGATCTGGTGCAACGATATAGGTAATCTACCATTCAACAACGTGAGATATTGGTCCGTCAGGGGCTAATGCCACCGTCCCTATCAATTTTAATTGAACTGAAATAAGAATATCTGATGTGATGAAGTTAAATGGACTTTATATTCGCATTTTGCAACCCCAATACATACATGGTCTGATCCCCAGACATGAACACATTTTTTTGTCTGTGGCTGTATAATTGTTATTTCTCGTAAGAATATTTGGTCAATACACAATCAATAATTCTATGTAATTTGTTCTAAACGCTTCCTGAACAATGTACTGCGTTACCTAGTATGTGAAATTTATGAATTGATAAACACTCTTCATCCGACGATTGATTTTTTTGTTTTCCTGGCACGTCCACTGCTATGGTCATTAGTCCAACTCGCAGACTGTCGTGGAGGTTGGCCCCTGGCCTTACGTTCCAGTAAGGGAGGAACACCGCCATCCTCCGGGATATACGATGCACTAGACCTAAGGGAATACCTGATATAGCAGGTGACGCGCACGCGAACACAAAACAATCTATCAATGGACGCTTGTGGTAAAGCGCATGAGACTTGAAACGGTACGATCGGAAATGGACGCATTGTCCAGGGTGCTAGCTTTCCAACTTTGTACGTCGGGGTTCAGCTTCTGATCGTTCCGTGTGTAACATGGAAAGAAAAAAACGGGCTCCAGTCTTGTTTCCTAGTGATTTTGTTTCCCAAGCCATGCATTCCACTATTTCTCCGTTAATATTTATTTCAGATTTTCATAAATATATCGATTAAATCTCTCATCAATACACTCATCATTGCTTCAACATTTTTTTCGTTTCATACCAAACAAAATTTCAACGTATCTTAAAAAACTATTCATTCACTCATCAATCCAAGTGCATAGACATAACCAGAGCTCGGATTCTGATGACCTCAACATTCTTTGAACATATCAATAAATTACTTACAAATTTATAAAAATAAAAGTTATTTATATAAAATTATGTTTAATACAAAGTCTTCCGTTTTAGGAGGAAATGTAATCCTTAGCTCCGATCGTCCAACCGTCGTATTTGAAAAGTTCAGGACGGTACCAAAGATCCATGTAATTTTGGATTGGAATAGTGAATTTCGTCATGAACTGATGATACAATAAACATTTTGTTCATGTGAGTAATTGTAAATTCTTGAAACATTCATTAACAATAAAGGGAAAAAGTGCGTTAAATGACAAAAATGACGCATAGGCAAAAAAATGACCTTACAAATTTAAAAATTGAAAAGCATGATTAAAAATGGCCCAATATATTTCTATCACCTACGTGTCATGATTTACAAGTCAGGTATGTCCAGAATACTCCAATAAAAAGATAACATGTCATCAGAATTCGAGCACTGGAATCGTAAGTACGGTAAAGAGCACGTGGCGCTGCGCAGGCCCCGACACGTGGACGCTGGAGTGGCCTGAGTGCGCGGGCGGCCGCCAGTCGCCCATCGACCTGCGCTCCGACGACATGCTGCGCCTGCGCACCACCAGCCCGCTGCGCTGGGACGGCTACTGGCGCCCCGTCAACATGTCCATGACCAACACCGGGCACACCGGTAACCGCTGCACTGCCGCTACTACTGTGTTAATGGGCAGGGCTAAGCGATCTAAAGCCTTTCGACAACAACACAAATATATCTGCGGGAAAATGTGAAAATTGCCAATCAGTGAAATTCTGAGTTAAGTTGCACCAACGTAGAGGTGCGTTTGAAACAAATTGAACATTTGAACATTGAACATTTGCAACTATAAGGATGTAATAAGACATCTGGTTTTAATAGCACTTCCGCATTCATCCGTAATTCGTAATTAATGAGAAGGAAAGTCTCGAATGATGGCCTCTAGGTCGCTTAGCCTCGTCACTCTTCAATTGGCGTATAATCTTCAAGGGGATGATACTTTAAGGCAATATAATTTCCCAGTTACCAACTTGTGTGTTACATACTTTTAAATGTTTTTGAAAAGTGCTTGTTGGCATGGGGTAAATTGGTCTGTGTGAGAAATGAGCGTTCTCTAAGAAATCGATTTTCTCTTCATGATATGAAATTATGCGTTTTTAAGATATTGAGTAGTATCATTGCAAAACTGTTGAGAATTATTTTAATTTTTATCACTTCTGTTGTAATTATAGTAAGCATTTACTTCAGACGTATTGATGTTATATTCATTTGTTGAAACATTTGTCGTACTATTCGTATTCAGAAAAATACCTATGAATTCATGAGTACAGCGTGTGCTCTTGCTTTTACATTCAATGGCTAACCTCTTGTCATATTTATAAAATTCCTGATTGACTTGACGTACTAAACTGATCGGTAAAAGGATTCAGTAAATTGAAAAATCAATCTAGAAAAATAAACAGATTCGCTTTGATGTGCTGCACAATTTATAGTTTAGGTTTTGGAATTAATCTTTGACCAACTGGTACTTTCATTAATTAATTATCATTCCATATTTTTTATGTTTTCTGAATTAATTGTATTTTATTTAGTTTCAAACTTCAATTCTTCTATTTATTATTTTATTTTTAGTAAATTTATTTTCTTTATCTTTTAATTTTGTTCTCGGTCAAAATATTTACAAAAATGATAATCACTACTCTTTCCCTTTAAATGTATTATATTGTCAGTACTAATGTAAGAAATTTTATTTTCTGAAAATAGTTCCCCCATTAAAGATCTAAATTATTTTAAAAACTATAATAGTTTTACTTCATCTAAACGTTGACTCGTATTTTTGTCATATAATGAATTAAATAGAACATCCTCAACCTCTCGAATAGTGTTCTAACTCACAGTAGGTAGTACACCATCAACTAGCAAAATCTAAAACAAAGGTTGAAGCATCCAAATTTTTTGGTTGCAACAATATTTCAGCCTGTCAAAGTTTCCCATTACCTCACTTCACGTTAACATGAAATGTGGCTCTTTCTCTTGCAGTGGAAGTCTCGGGAGACTGGGGCTCAGCGGGCACTCCCACCTTGTCCGGGGGGCCTCTGGAGGGAGAGTACGTCTTCTCGGACCTCCACTTCCACTGGGGCCCCGATGACGCCGTGGGCAGTGAGCACACAGTGCACAACGTCAGGTGTGCATCCTCGTTTTGCAAACTACCTGGCCAATTTCGGTAGAGCGCATGATATTACGTTTTTTTACACAACAATATTACGTTGTAATGTTTCTACCTCCAAGAACTTTGTAATTGATCGTCATTGTATTGTGATTCGGTGTCAGAATGTGAGCGATTTTATATGTTGTCCACGAAACCAATGTCTAATTGAGGGTGACAGCGCAATAGTGGCCTATCCCACATTTTTAGAAAATTGCGTTCTCTGTGTTAGTCACATCTTAATCTCCCCAACTTCAACGTGTAACAGTTTCAGCATGTTCGCGTCGATAGTTTTCAAGTTATAATTACAAAAAGAACTATTGCACTCAGCTTACGATTACTTTTCTTTGTGCAATAGTGGCCTAAGCATAGGCGATGCTGTTTTACACAAGATGTAATCCACCACAAATGTTTAGTCAGTGGTCATTCTTACATAATATCATAATATGAAAACACTCACTAATGAGTGTTTAATTTTGCCAATAATTTCATCAACCATTTTCTCCAAACACAGGATCTGGGGATAAGCCACTATTGCGCTGACACCCTCAATTTATATAGCAAGTTTCTCTAGATAACTGATTTTTGACATCATTACTCCTTAAACGCTAAATAATCTCATATGCATTTTTTTACCACTAACTCTTCTTGCGAAATAAAAAATTGAGCCAAGGATCAATTTTTGTACATACAAATTCTAAAAGTGTAAGCTTACAAAAATGTAAACAAATTATCAATCAAAAATTGAAATTGCCAACAAGTTACATTGTATTAAAAGATCTACAATAATCATACAATAATTTGTCTAAATAGATTAAACCTGAATATAAATTTGCGCACATTTTTAAAACAGTTCTAGTGCTTCACATAACAGCAGACGCATTTCTGAATTTCTGCAGTCTTACTGAGTGTAGGCAATTTATCCTGCGTTTGTGTTAAGCAGTATTGCATACCCAGCGATTGGGCAGGCGCTTAATTACGTTTTACGCTTGCCACGATTTCCTCGCCAGTGAGAGCAGCGACGTATGTTTCGATTTCTCATGTCTCTTTTCACATGTTTAGCTTTCCCATGGAAATGCACGCGGTTCACTACAAACGCGACTATGGGAACAAGGACAACGCACGAGAATTCGACGACGGTCTTGTCGTCGTCTCCTACCTCTTCAGAGTAAGTGACGACCAGAGCCATAAAATATTGAAATATTGAGAAATTGCAGTTTTAGTTTTACAATAATGAAGATTTTGCTATGGAAAATATTGAAATTTACTATATATTTCTACACTACTATTTGTCTCACTCTTCCAATGAAAAGAAATGATATTCTTTCTATCAGAAATTAATAATAATAATAATAATAATAATAATAATAATAATAATGTAAATAATAAGTAATTTATTTTTGTATAAATAGTATTACAGGAGTCATAACAGTAAGATTAATGGTAAACAAGGGTGATTCAAGAATAAACTAAATTGTTATCCCTTGCCTCGATTTTGGTAAAAGTATGACTTATCTTGTTAGTTTATATGCTGAATGTCTTAGAATAAATGTTACAACCGTTTAGGTTTTATGAGGTGATCGAAGATTATCATTTTTCTCCACAGAATATATGGTGGGAAATTTCAGTTCAGGAAGTTACACATGTGACATGAATTGTTAGCTAGTTCCATCTACGCCGGTCTTCGACAGACACACAGAATCTCTTTGAGTGCGCCAGTATTCTACCTGCCGAATACTAGTGAATAAGAAATTGATTACACTCCAGTGGTAAATATTTCCTTACATACAATTTATCACTACATGTTCATTAGCAAAAAATGATGATGTGCTCTATAAACGTGTAACATTTAGTCTAAGACTCCTGTATATAAGTGGGGTGTGGATGTAACATTTATTCTGAGACGTTATGTCTATAATGTACATGATTTTAGTGAAGCTGTGAGTTCTCGTCTTATTGTACATTCTGAGGGTCTCAGAACAAACGTTACAAACATCCAGGGCATGTGGGAGGTCGAAGATGGTAACACAGCCACACAAAAAAATGTATTCGTGTCTGGGGATTAGAATATGTTTTATGTTTTTGGGGTCGTTAAACCCGAATGCGGTGTCCATTTTACTCCATTACATAAGGTTTTTGACATAACCTCTAAAATAATAGATATAAAAATAAAAGATATTTCAAACCGAGTAGGCAGACCATGTTACTTATATGTTTAGTGTTTGCTGAAACTGAATCTGTAGTCCATTTAACTTCATCATATGAAATGTTTTAATTAAAATCAATTGTAATTGATGGAAAAAGTGGCTTGGCCTCTGACGGGACAACATTAATCACGTTGTTGTATGGCCGATTGGATATATCGGCGCCAGATCACTAGCCTTCTTTCCAAGCCGACACAGGTTATTTTTAGAATTTTTTTAGGATATGTAAAAAAATATGTGATGAAGTTAAACGAACTTCAGATTCGGTTTCGGCGACACCAAATCAAATAGGAAACATGGTCTAAACTCTCGGTTAGAAATATCTTTCATTTATTTACATTTTCTAACGTTATATCAAACACCTGATGTAATGGAGTAAAATGGACACTGGATTAGGATTTAGCGACCCCCCAAACATATAGAAAACATGGTCTGATACCCAGACATGAACACATTTTATGTGTGGCTGTGTAATTTTTCACTGTACTAGTAAATGATACCCGGATATATATTTCTCGCAGTTTTCTATTAAGCAGCCCCGTCCAATCCGAACGATTCTCCAGTCTCGTGAACGATTCTCCAGTCTCGTGAACGATTCTCCCGTCACATGAACGATTTTCCCGTCACGTGAACGATTCTCTCACCTCGTGAACGATTCTTGATTTAAAAAAACAATGTTTACTTCAATTGCGAGAGTGAGCGTTTTTTGGCTGTCGCAGCGGCGCAACACGGCCAACGGCGCGCTGGAGCCGCTGCTGCGCGCCATGCACGACGTGAGCGGCGCGCGAGGCCTGCCGCCCGCGCCGCTGCGCCCGCAGCCCTTCGCCCTCAGCCGGCTGCTGCGCGAGTTCGAGGAGGACTACGTCATGTACGAGGGCTCGCTCACCACGCCGCCCTGCCGCGAGGCCGTCACCTGGCTCATCAGCGCGCGCCCGCTGCCCGTCAGCGCGCAGCAGGTGGGTGGCGCCCGCTCCCCGGAGGCCGTCCCGCCTCCCCACCCCAATCCGCTAGCCTCCCGCTGCCCGTCAGCGCGCAGCAGGTGGGCGCCCGCTCCCCGGAGCCCGTCCCGCCTCCCCACCCCAATCCACTTGCCTCCCGCTGCCCGTCAGCGCGCAGCAGGTGGGCGCCCGCTCCCCGGAGCCGGTCCCGCCTCTCCACCCCAATCCACTTGCCTCCCGCTGCCCGTCAGCGCGCAGTAGGTGGGCGCCCGCTCCCCGGAGACCGTCCCGCCTCTCCACCTCAATCCGTTCGCCTGGTGTAGGTGGACGTACGCTATGTGATCACAAGTATCCGGAAACGTGGCTGTAAATGGCTTACCAGTTCGTGGCGCCCTCCGTCGGTAATGCTGGAATTCAGTAGGGTGTTGGTCCACAGGCAACGGATTCAAATTTAGCGACCTCAAAAACATAGAAAACATGGTCTGATCCTTAGTCAGGAACACATTTTTTGGGCTTCACAGGCATACTTTCAATCAGGAGCTGGAAGGTTTCTTGGGGAATGGCACCCCATTCTTCAGGGAGTGCTGCACGGAGGAGAGGTATCGATGTAGGGCGGTAAGGTCTGGCACGAAATCGGCGTTCCAAAACATTCAAAGGGGTTCGATGCGATTCGAGTCAGACGAGAATTCGGGATTCGGACTGTGTTGGTCAGTTCATTACAGAGATGTTATTGCTGTGTAACCACTCCGCCACTGGCCGTGCAGTATGAACAGCTGCTCGATCGTGTTGAAATATGCAATCGCCTTCCCCGAATTTTTATATCAACGGTGGGGAAGAAAGTGTTTAAAACATCAACGTAGGCCTGTCCTGTGATAGTGCCACATAAAACAAGGGGTGCAAGCCTTCTTCATCAAAACAATGGCCCCACCGAAAAACCATTTTGGACGTGTCCAGATACTTTTGATCACACGGTGTAGCATTAGTTGTGCCAGTATTTTAGTGGTAATGCCGACCTTAGTGGTTTCCCGACAGAGATCGAACTCAGGTCTCCTAGTTTACACCCTGCTGATGTTGAGAACGTTGATCGTGTTCGAAGCTTGTGGTAAAACAACCCTTGATTGATTTCTCGAGAGGTGAATAGAATTCGAGTCATCTAGTTTACGCCCAGTAGATGTTCATAGCATTGGGTGGGCCAGTAGTAAAGAGGTAAAGTCGATCTTAGTTGTTTGCCGACCAGAAATCGACCTCGGGTCTCGTGGTTTATGCACTGTAGATGTTGTGAGCGTTAGTATTGGTAGCTTTGTGGTAAAATCGATCCTAGGTTTTTCCGACAGGGAATCGAACTAGGGTTTCCTAAGTTTTGCTCTGTAGATGCTAAGAGAGTTGATTGCGAGCTTAGAAGATAAAACAAACCAAGTTGTTTCCCAACATGCAATGAAACTGGGAGCTCCTGCTTTTTCCCTGAAGATGTTAAGAGCGTTGATAAGTTGGTTAGGGAATCGAACTCGGGATCTCCTGGTTTACATCCTGTAAATATTTAGAGGGTTGGTCATATCCGCTGCTTAGTGGTAACCCTTATGCTTTCCCGATCTGGACTCGAACCCTGATCTCCTGGTGTATGCCTAATTACTCTCCGTAACGTTGGTCATACAAGTAGAACTGTGGTAAAACTGTATTTTTCCTACAAAGAATCAAACCTGAGTCTCCTAGTTTTACGTCAAGCAGCTTCTACTCCGAGGCGACCAATGTCTGAACAGAAACTGGGTGTAAACCAAGAGACACATGTTCTATACCCGTTTGAGGTGATTAATGTATTGCACAAATTGAATAATTCTATATTCCTGTTAATCAGTCATATGTTTACTTCAGTACCTAATACTAAATGGAACCAGGGTCTCATTCTAGATTACATTTACTTTGCCTTATATATTTCCGACTAAAACACTTTTCAACTCAAACTCGATGGCAGTACTAGGTATGTTCAAATGTTTATTCGCTTATGATGCGAGTTTCCTCAAAGATATTTTCTATAGACGCAACGGAGCGCAAGTAGCGAGCCTCACAGCACGTGCCACCTGGGTTTCCTTCCGGTGATAGAATATTAGGTAGCGTGCACTATAAAAGCTATATTTCTCAGAATATTGTGACATAACATATGAGTGCATATTTATAAACGCGTTGCTTCAATGAGCTAAATAAATCTATTCGGTTTCATTTACAATAACGATATGGTGACGATATCTTTCCTATTAAAATGGGTATACACCACTAATAATATTATACATGGAATTTAATATTATACGTATTATTAGATGGCCTTCGCATACAGTTTTAGTGCGTATATTACCTGAATATCCGAAACGATCCTAGGTGGTAATTGAGGGAAACAACTGTATAAATTAAAGCAATATTAGACGACAATGCCCTTGTGGTTCGGTCTTTCGATTTTAATGACTTTTTTTATAGAGGTGGCCCAACTCAATTGTTAGACGATGAACGTCTAACAATGATATGAGATGAAAATTTACTGATAATTCATCTGTTTCGAGCTATAAGTACAGAACAAGTAGTCAGATTTGAAAAGAATCAAAAATAAAAACGTGACTAAAATGAGACCAATATGTTAAATGGAAAATAAGCGTGTTGTGAGGTTTATCAGGAAATTTGTATTTTCTATCTCAACAAGTCAAAAAAATCGTTTCATGTCAGAACACAATAAGCAAATACTGAACCTTTTCATACGATGCTTTCAATAGCATTAGACTATCCAGGAAATAACCATAATATTCCAAGCATTCAAAAACCAAAGCTATTGTAAGTTCCATGCTTGGTTGGATTCGTTGAAATGTGTTTTGTGACCTTCATGATGGTTACAAATCTGAGTGTACACATTTATTTCTAGTTTTTGTTGTTACTATATTAACGCCGAAGAAAGTAAATTATAATACATTTTTATTACAAAGAACTACAAAAATATGTATTCTAAATTTTGATTTACGGTTTTTATGTATAATAGATCTGATTTCTGTTCAAAATCTATTACAATTTATTGCATCGATTATAAATATCAAAATTAATTATTTGATTCTCAAAATAATAAAAATTATGCTTTTCTATCTAGGATAATATTTGTTATGAATAAACAAAAAAAATTGTGTGGTCTAAATATCTCTTGCTTCTCCTCATTTTTAGCTGGAAGAGTTCCGCAGTCTGATCGGGGAAGACGGAGAAGTGGACCGCAATTTTCGGCCTGTGCAGCCATCTAACGGCCGATCAGTGTACTATGTGGACGTGGAGTGAGCAGTGCCACAGATGCTGTGCGACAACAGCGCGACTACGGCAACCTTCGAAATTGCTCATCGACGAGAGTACAATATCCACTAGTACTGTGACGTAGGACAGTTCTGAATTGTGTTACCGAAGAAGCGAATTTCTTGTGCCTTAATGTATATAGTCATACGCGAAAAATGTTTAGGTTAAGAGAACGCGATGCTCAGTATTTATTTTGATTTCCGAGCAGTTATCGTTCAATTTTTATCGACTTTTTATTTTTTAAATAAAGTTTTTATCTAACTTATTTTGTTCATTATTTAAAAATTCTTTTTTACAGGAATTATTTCAAATTATTAAGATCAAATGGAAAATCAAATTTCTAAAATATTGAATATAAGTATTAAGATTTGGCCGTTTTATTTACTCAAGCCAACGTCGTTTAAATTCATTGCTATCAATAACAATCGTACAATATGTTGTGTCTTCCTTCGAAAACAGTTGTACATAGAATTGAAAATAATTGCATCGCAAAATTGTTTACATTCTATCATATAAACAGATGAAGCAACATCCACGAAATACGTGTGAAATATGTACAATTCGAACTATCAAAAATAGAGCAACGATGCAATAAGTTTGCTTGTATAACGAATGAAGTTAAAATTCGATAAATTTACAATATGTATATGTTGAAAAATTGAGAATTGATAACGTGATTAAATAGTATTAAGACCTATGTTCTTTACTACAAAAAATAAGTCTGTACTTCGCTAGATTATAAAATGTAGAAATCAAGTTACAAACTTTCATTGAGTAATTTGCATTGCTTCTAAGACATTTTCGTTATATTAATTTGTAACAAAAAACGTCAATTGACACTTTTTTAAATGCTCAAACATTACGCGTGATTATTTTGTGGTTTTGTAATTATTCTTCAAGCAGTGTTTGAATGCGAATCTTGAGACAACATTCGTTTTCATTGTAATACACAACTTGGCACGTTGAAGACTCATTTCAATATTAATAAATTATTTATAACAAGGCTTAACAAGGTTTAACAAGGCTTATGAGTCATTAGGATCTTTAAGTGTACTCTTGAGATTGGCTTTGAACTTTCTCAAATGAAAATGGAAATCAAATTCCGTTGGATCTGGATTGAAATTAGGCAGCATTGCAAAACTATCGCTTGAATTAAACAGTAAAATTATTTTTTTACCTGATAATTACAATTATAATAATTTAATATCTCTCTAATATGTTACTTTAGATTTAAAACATTTTACTTACGTACATTAGCAATTGAAGAAATATGAATAAACATGAAGTGCTTCTTAGCGAAAATTTTCGTATTATAGTAAGTTACAAGAATTTAAAATAATGTTCGCAATAATTAATGAAAATTTTATTATTTTATTGGTAAAGCTAAAGTATAAAACTTCGAGAAAACTTCGTATTTTTTCTATATTTTAATTACTTCACCATTACAAACCCACACAGTTTCTCAAGATCCTTGTAGCTTGTCAACAGGTTTCCGAATCTTGGACGTTTGGTCACAAGAGATATAAGCAAGGAATAAGCCCTTCGCACGACCTTAAGGACGGGAATGACGACAGGATGGTGAAAGAACGACTGTGCGCGATCTGCGATCGTTATTCAATGTAATTCGGACTGTTAAACCCAAGTTGCGGATTCAAACTCGATCGAATCCGTAGATTTTTAAGGGCGAAAACATCCTTCGTACGCCTTTCTTCCGACAGTAAGTAAAGCATACTGTCCCATGTTAGTAGATTTACTTTCATGTAAAAGATCAAGTCTAAATGAAGCCTCTGAGCTAAATTCAAATCGCCTGTTTCGTCGCCCAAAAAATACCTTCTTTCTCCGCAAGTTGGTGAAAGGACCATAGCGAAATTTGCGTGGTCAGACGGATGAACGGGCCTGATGACCCGAATCTCACCACGTAAAAAAAGGCATCAATTCAATTCAATGTAATACTCTGGCATCTGCGTAGGATGGACTCCAGAGCAGACGTAATGCCGACCTGTAGTGCCAACCAGAGCAGCAGACCTCGAGAGTTCTTCGCTTAGGGTGACTTCGTCCCACCAATTAATAAGTTTACAGGTTCCTGAGTGGTACACAGCTTACCACCGATGATCCGAGAAGTTCTAATAATTTTCTAATTTGGGCTTTACTGAAGATAATAATTGCGACGGCCCTTTTCCCCATGATCGGTTTTGGGCACACTTTTTCGCGTCTGCATTTTCGGCAAAAAAAGCTCTCTTTATTATGGACACTAAGGTTACGCGGTCAAACACGAATTGAAGGACTTTTTTATATTTAACAACTAATGATACATATTTAGCAATAATTTGCGACCATTTTCTGCATTTTTGTGTTAAAATATTTTCACTTTCTAAGGTACGGTAGGAACATATATTTTTTTAACATTTGCTGTACTTGTGATTCTTACCACGGAAGCACTATATCTTTTTTTAAGAACTACTAGTAGTTCAAAATTCAGTTTATTCCTGCGATTGCATAACGTTCATATATATTGAGAGATACTGAAGTAAGATTGCAACGTGTTTATGAGCTGTAGGAAAACGCCAGTTTACACGAAGCGATTACGCATGGCAACGTTTTTAATTGTTTAAACAACTGACAATCGTTTAATGATGAAACTATCACTAAGTGTTCACTTGTAGTAATTAGCTATGCGAGTGGATAAAGAGGGGTATAACTGCATGAGTGGTATGTTCAAGAAAACAAGCGACGATAGGAGCGAGTGTTCTTATATACGAGTGTAATTATACCCATTTATCCACAATATTTTTTCGTTTCCATTTAAGGATAATTTAACTTTTTAGAAATTCAAGCACATTTATATTTTTCGAGGCATACATTGATGACGTATTGATTCTGAAAATGATCAATTTTGGTTGGCATTTCTTTGTGTTTGTTTGCAAGAAGTATTTGTATGTGGAAGAAATTGAACATATTGTGGATAAAATATTAGAAGAAGCTGACAAAGTCATGAAAACATTCCTTTTCACGAAAAGTAAAAACAGATATGAGAGAAAAAACTAGTCACTTCTGACCCAGTTTTGCTATAGAGTACTCTTTAGTACTAATAGCACACAACTAACGATAATTAACCCTAGATATTCTAAGAGGTAATAGCCCACATATTTGTTAGCCATGGAAATTTTGCTTAACATTTGTTTGTTGTTTTTTCCTTAGCATTAGAGGGTTAGCATTCAAGTATAATACTTGCATACTTATATAATCTAAGCTACTCTAGAAGATAAACTACTGTTTGACAATTACAAAACTACCAACATTAAAACCAGTTATTTAGGTAATTCATCAACAAAGAAAGGTTTAAGGTATTGTTATAATTGTAACCAATAATAATAATAATCATAGAAAAAAAATTATTAGACCTTCCATGATATTAATCATAGAAGCATTTTTTTCAAACTCTACAAGTTATTAATTTATTAACGAAATGAAATTAAGTATTTTCGATTAAAGATATGACTTTGCACATAAAAGGAACTCTTTCACTGTATCCAAATTTTTTCTTAAGTTTTTTCATGAGATACTAAACAGTCAAGACTCTTCGTGTGCTCCAGATCGATTAAATAAAAATTTTATACCCACTTCGATTAGGTTGTCTGAAGTCGTCATCAAGAATTCTGACACACAAGACAAAGACAATTCTAGTGATTTATTTAGGTATCAGACTTCAAGTAGCTCCAAATCTTTTCATTTAAAGATTGCATTCTATAGTTTGATTCAATTCACAGCGATAATTGAATTGACCCACGGAAAGTTGATTCATTCACACAAAAGCAATTGTAGATAATACTGGTCGCGTTTGTGTACGATTTGCGAGTCTGTAATGAAAGCTTCATTGATCGGAATGTATTAGGTTCGAAGCCAGATGGAGGCGCTGTTGATCCCTTACAAAGAAGGCGAATCGGATGATGTTCGTACTACGGTATTCTTTACCCTCGTTGCTCTGATCGGCTGTTACGTGGTTTCCCCCGATCAGACAAATATGGATTATCTTTTCTTAAAGAAATTGCAATGGTCCATATACAATCCTATATTCCTCATCATGTCTTCATCACCTAAGAACAAGTTACACCAGGGCAGCTATCTGTCGCACACTCCGCTGGACAGCGACTGACGTCACGTAAACTCCTGCGGAGAGCGCGAAAGACAACAGAGAATGGGCTGCCCTCTTGCCGGGTGCGCTCGGAAGGTTGCGAGGCCGGACACGGGGCAATGGATGTGGAGCTATCAACTATCCTCATGCATTAGACAGTCGCCTTACATAACCTTACTTTCCGCCAAGTTCTGCGCCGTGTAGAGAGATCTTTCATAACAGTGTCTTGCTTTTAGTTATCTCCTTATTCGGTCTGAAAAAAAACTTGGCTCGTTCATTCTCATGAGATTTACTCTTCTTCGTGCGCGGAGACATTTTACTTCCTGTCGTGAACTGCCGTCGCTGTTGCCATTAGTAACGTGTTCTTGCACATATACACGAGTCCAACTTTTAGGAGACTATCAAGACCATGCGAACCTTGAACAAGACCTTGTGAACCTTGGTCTGCCTTGCGAACATTTGGTCAGGTCATCTTATCTGATAAATAGCTCGTTAGCAACAAGAAGGTAAGAATTCACTAACTTTTTCTTCGTCTTATTTATTATCAAAACAATTTTTATTCACCGCTTTCCTCTTTGTATTTACTACTAAAAAGAAAAAAAAATAATTTGTGCGTGTAGAGTCCTCTAAGGGAGGGGCGTCATGGTTTTTGAATTCATATCTAAACTGGTGGCGACGATTACAGCACTGGCGTGTTCTAGACATGCACCTTCTCGCAGAATTTAACAGACTGACTGCTGCCAATGTACTGAGAAGGAGCTAGAACCAGCGCTGGGTTTGTGGAACATTGATGTGTACATGCAGCCACAGTTCTTTCATATCCCTATTATCATAGGTAATACCACAAGTGCTTTGGAAATCGTCGATATATCTCCGACTCGCGAAGCGAGGAGGGGATTTATCTGTGAATCTCCAAAGCACGAGTGGTATTTAATAGGACTATTCTATGAATTACATTACGTCCAACAGAGATTCAAAATGCTCTAAATATCGAAAGTAACTGAAAGCATGTTGAAATCAAAGAGGTTATGTTATAGTACACTCGCGGTTTATTGCACATTATCACAGTTAACATACCGCCTTCTAAGATAATGTGTCGCAGCTGTTCGCCAGTAAGGAGGAGCAGTAAGAAAAATAGGAGAGGAAAAGGGATTTTTTTAAATACACCGCCCTGAACTGAGGTATTCTATATTAATGGGTTTAAACACTATCAGTTATTAATTTCACGGTGTGGAACAGACGTTATTACATCATTTGATTCTTGCCATATTTCATTTCCCCTCCAAATACGTACAAATTTCAATTCCTTCGAAGTTTGGCGAAAAGTTACACAGAGCAGAATAGGTCATTGTATTTATAGGTAACGATTTATTTAGCAGTGCTCCTTGACACAATCCGCTGTTTCATCCAATCGGGAGCTTGAATGTCGCTACAGTGTTCGTCACTATGGGGACGTTCTAGCCCCTGATTGGATGAAGCCGTTGAACCAGCTGATTTTTACGTGTCAGTGCATTGCGTTAAATAAATCCTAGTAAAGTCCGTATTGTTGCAACCAGTGAGTTTTTGGGCGCAGTTTCAATGGTGAGCTGCATAAGGCCCTGGCTGGGGAGGGGGGGGGCGTTGGAGCCAACGGGGCAACTTGCTCTTGTTGACCTCGGGCGCCCTGGCCGCTGCGCGCGGCTGCCTCCGCGCATGCGCCGCCGGGCGCGGACTCAGGCTCGCAGTCGCGAAACAGCGGACAAAAGAACGTGTGTAAAGGCCCATTCACAACGCAAACATAAACATGAGCATGGCGTTAACATTAAAGTTAGGACTATGACCATAAGCGACCATCGCCAATGCGTTCGGCAATAAGCATAACACGTAAGAACGTTACGTAAAAGCCTTGCATGTAGGATATAGTGATGGCATTGGGCATTTCAATTGAAATAATATATGCGTGGTCATTGCCAACAATGTTACTAATTTTTTACTATTTAATATTGTTGGCAATGACGTCGCATATAATTATTTAAAGCTTCAAGCTTCTGTGCTTATTCTTAAGTAAGACATCAGAAATCAACCAATCGCAGTACGCTAATTCAAAATCGAGAATCGAAATAAGATCGAAGTCGATAGACGAACTTACACCATGTATCGTGGGCCATGGACACAGTCAATACCTCGAAATCGATTGTCACATCCAACCAATAGTAAACTAGAATGTCTCACAGCGCTTAGAAACTCTTATTTTACTTTTGCGAAATGCTTATGTTAGACATTGTGAATACTACAGTATATCACGTATGTTAATGTTTATGTCTATGCGTTATGCTTATGTTTACGTTTGCATTGTGAATAATCGACCATTGCCTTTACTCATACTATTTCAACATGATAATTCTCGGAATCTCCTATCACTAATATTTACAATACTAATGTACTTTATAATTGAATAAATATGTTAACAGAATTTCTTTAAATAATTGCTCATAATGTTTCTCGAAACCATAAATGCTTTTTAGTTTAATCGAATTCAAAATGGCGTATTTTTCAAAACATTGTCACAAAACTCAGTGTTTCAAAACACCTCAAATCTTTTTTTTTTACTCTTCTATCATTTTCTTAATGTCGCATTTTAATTTATTATGACTACAAAATTATTAAGAAAACACATGCCGATGTTTTCGGTTGAAAAACTACGCTGCAAAATGTCAATACTGCAGCAACGACAAGTAAATTATTGTGTTAGTCACGCTTCCTATTTGTTTTGTTCTGCGACATTTTGTGAACAGTTCATGAATTTTCAGGAAATGTTTGTATGTGAAGGCGAGGGTTGAGGTATTTTAAAGTGAAATAGTTTCATATTTTTGTAGGCAAACCACTTCTTTTGAGTGTTATTTAGATATGTAGATTAAGGATTAATAATTGTGACCATATATACTGCATATAAGATCAAATTTTCTTATTAAGTCTTACACCATGCTAGGAAGTGGGCATAATTTGTAATAGTTGGCATAAATTAGCATAATAATAATAATAATTCCGTGCTCATGTTTTGCATGAGTTGGCTTATATGTTCAATGTGTATACTAATGTGCCAGATAATTACTATAATTTTACCTAATCGTTATAAATATTATGAGTCAATTTGTCATTTTGTAACATAACTCTTAAATAATTTCGCAGTAGTTTAAGTAATATTTACGGACTTTTACAACACTTTATTGCCGTACCTACTTTTCCAAGTTTTGTAGACATTCTCTGTATACGTACCATGCACTACAGAAAAGTGCTCGTGTATAAATGATGATACAGATTTTCATATTCTTCGAGAGTGAAATACTCTCATTTTCCTGTCTTATTAATTGTTCGAAAATAATGCAATAATAAAGAAAGAGGGAAAGAGCCACTTTCTTTAACGTCCCCAAATAATTTTCAATTTAATGGATAAATACTACAAATTATTGTTAAATTTTATAGTCTTAATCATAAGCGGAATTTTAAAATGTGTAAATTTTTCAGAACCTACATTCTCTTCTCTTACGCAAAAACATTTATTTACGCAAAAAAATGTCTGTATCAATAGATGATGGACTATGGTAGGCTTTCAATCATCATTTTCAACACTAAGAAATATTTTACAATGTTCAATTGTATAATCAGAATACCAAATTCTGAATCAGCAACTATTTCACCTTCATAATTATTATCATGTAATCCGTAAAGGAAGGTCTTGATCTTATAATTTGTCATAAAACAAACAAAATATATCATAATGCAATGCAACAAGTGAAATCTGTGCTTTCTGGAAAATTCAATTCAACTTCGTGAGATCGATAGTTCAAATCGATTATTTTCATTCTCAGCGAACACGCCGTCAGTTGCCCGAACACTTTGCTACAGGGAAGTAGTAGATCTTGAGAAGTTGCTACTTAAACAGTGCTACAGTGATTTACTTTGTGAATATTCATTTAGAATTTAAAATAGGATAGATATTAATAGATATCAGCATAGTTTTATGGTGATAAAGTGAACGGTTGTGTAATAATATTTGAAAGAATCTGGGATGAAACGGTTTCAAAGAAACCGCAAAGTGTGATGAAAACTGCCAAACTTGCGATTAAAATGGTCATGTTTGTTATTCTTGAAAGTCGTTACGAAGAGAATTTATGAGTTACGGGAAAATTATCAATTCACAGTCAAACAAGTAATATAATCAAGACCTGTTCCATATCGTCGGTGCCAAAAATACAAAAAGTAACAAAATTTATTCAACATCAGTGCAGCATGAAGATTGGATGATCAACAGATAATCCGCAACCAAACCAACAATGGTGAATCTTCGTTCCGTTCTACACCGCGGCATTCTGTGGTTGACGCGTCTTTCCGGTGAGTTTGCAAGTGCTTACAGTTCTTGTGTATTTTCTGCTCGTTTTAAAAGATTCGACAATCTGATAACGCTAGGCCGGAAACGTTAATTGCCACGGTGCTGTACTTCGGCAATGGTAATGTTGGAACCTCCACTTTTCTGCTTGAGATGTTCTCGGTTCTCGTAATCGCAGTCTCTTGCCTCTCTTAAATTACATTTCTTCCTTTTGAACTCCATCCAACCGAAATTGTTATAAAAATGTGCTTCAGAAATCAACAATTAAATCGTTGATTTAAAGTCGTTCGTATTGTTTGAATCATCACTGTTTAAAAAATGCATAACCTGAAATTTTCACAAATTCATGGATTTTGGTCAACATATTGAAAATTTAAAACAGCTTTTGCCAATTATATATTAAGAATTAGATTATTGTAATGGCGATATGAGTCACGCTGCTATGATGAAGACTGTAAATGTCAAAATTCGGTCGCTTTAAGTTACTAACACAATTTAAATTATTCCTATATTTACGTAAAACGAGTACTTTTCAGTGCTTTTTGCGACAATATCTCCCAGTAAAAGTATATCTAAAGTAGCAATTTGAATAGTAATAAATACGAATTTAAGAAAATATTTTTTTCATTAGAAGAAAACAAATATCGGTAGAACTAGAGAACGTGGTACAACTTACGGAAGTCAAGGAAATTTGCGCCGGTCTGATCAAGGGGAAATTTTTGGCCAATGAGTCGAATGGTATGTTAGAGGCTTTTGAAGGGAATATTTCGATGGGCAGGTGTGGAGCAATGCACATATTGCAATACCTAATCATGATAAGTAAGGCGTGAGCAATGTAACAAAAAATAAAATATAAAATAAACTATAAAAAATACATTATTGCAATAATTGTAATGCTTCGTGATTGATTACTTTCTTCTTTACTCTATTTCTTCATTACTTTCAACGTGTTAGAACCTTGTCAGAAGGTCATTATTATTTTGTTCGTTGAAGCGAAAGTTGCATTTAATGGGTTATTTTGACGTTTTCTGCCTTGGGGGTATCTGACGTTTGTGTGTTTTTGATCTTCGAGTGCTTGTGTTACGACAGTGAGAATAAATGTGGTTCCTTATGTGTAAAAATGTGTCGAAATGGGGTTTGTTCTTCATGGCCTGAATCTGACAGGGTTTACGTGACCTGTGTGTAATAGTGGAAGTGGAAGAAGTTGTTTGGTTGTTTGGTAGTTTAGAGAGAAATTGAAAGTCAGAAAAGATACCATTCATATGCGTAAATGTTCTATGTGAAAGGGAACGTGGTTAGCGAGAAGCAAAATAAATATGGAAGGTTCTTGCCTTTCCTCTCCAACTTACATAAAACATGGAGAAATCGCACTTCGGTGCGTTTTAATCATTCATTCTTGAGCGTTGTGTGTATTTTAGAAGGAGGGTCTAAGAAGACACCCTAATTTTCCCATTTCCTTCCACAACAAAAGCGCAGTATTGTTTCAAAATTTTCAGAAGAAATATAATATGGTTATAATAATTGTCTATGAGATTGTTAAACAATTATTAGACTTTATAGAAGAAATTTTTCGGGCTGGTAAGCAATGGTCTAGTTAGCATAGAAGGGCCAAACGTTCCGTCCTTCGAAACGTTTGGCCCTTCAACGCAAACTGGACCACGGCCTACCAGCCCGGAAAATTAATCTTCTATTGACTCCGGCCGTAAAAGCCTACCATGCTATGTAATTATTCGACTGTTTGTTGTTATACTCTAAACGAATTATATAAGCACAAATAGTTTACTTTTTTAACAATTCACGCATTAAATGAAAGGGCACATCATTGCGCTATTATAATGCAATCATGCGCATTAATAACTAAATCCACGTTGTGCGTTTCCTGCTCTTGTCAAAATAGCTTCAGTCTTCCTTCAACGGAATGCAAACATTAATTGTACATTTGCGCAGTGTTTGTTCCATTTCACGTCCTCCAAAACGCTCCCAAGCTTTACGAGCGCTTAACTACCACAGCTCGTTGATCTCCACCGACCGAAAAAACAGTTCCTAGTAGTCAACCTTCATCTAGTACTACGCAGCACTAGATGGAAATAAATCTGGAGGAACAAAAGAAACCGCAGACCTTCACAAAGTGACGTACAAATGAATTTATTATGAAAAGGGTACGCAGGCAATTGATCGCATGGGGGCGCCGCCGGGCCGTTGAAGCGCCGAGCGGAACCGCGTCGAATGCTGCGGGGCTAGTCCTCCTCGACCTGCGTCGCCTCCGCGCGCTCCTCGGGCGGCAGGTCGGCGTAGTAGAAGACGTCGCGGCAGAAGAGCGACTGCACGGGGCGAAGGTTGGCGCGCAGCGGCCCGTCCCAGCCCAGCAGCATCCGGAACGCCAACGCCTGCACACGCGCGCGTTAAGGCCTGTGTGACACGAGCGTTAAGACCTGTGTCACACGAGCGTTGTGTTAAGCAACGCGCGTCGTAGATTATCACGTGTATTATTCGGAACGACCAAAGCGCTCGTGTGCCGTTTCGCATAAGATAGTGTTATTCTACGACACGCGTTACGTAACGCGCGTGCACCCAACGCTCGTGTGCACGGGGGTTAAGGTTGGAGGATCTCCAGCGCACATAAATGGACGCAAAAATGCGTGCGTTGTGGGGTTTAGAGAAACGAATAGGGCATGGCACACGAGCGCGCTACACGACCTTGATTGTGCTCTACTTGGGTGCCCGGAATACTGGCATCCGTGAAAATACAGTCGTTTGAACGTCCGTTACAACACGCTCGTGTGTCCGTAGTCCAAATCGATGCGAAGTATTCACTAGGGATGGGTTACCCCCATTGGTTTTGATACAGGGCATTTGTAAATTGGAATGTAGGGTATCTGATTTCTTAGTTGCATGGCAACCTGAAATGAGGTATCTAACTTAACTTTCAAAACATTTTTATGAGTAAGTCAGGAACAGTCATGAAACGCATTCTTTGATTGCATTGCAGTAATTCTTGATAGTTATTTACCCAACTAGTAACGAAAGTGAACCTGTGGCTTACAAATGAAATGTTGACGGACAAGGCGACGATGGAATCCAAGTGCGACAGTTTAAAATGAGTACTCCCAAATCACTTTTGTATGAGTTGCATACATTATTTTCAGTACAAATTCATGGAAACTTGAATGAATATACTCGTATGATCATTCTGAATATGCGAGGTGGCAATCATGTTCATTCATGTAGCGTTAGTATTTTGTTTCCTTTGCAGTACCCAATAATTGTTTAATACATTTACTGTTTTATATGGCCGCAAAGCAATACGTAAAATCAATAAACAGTGAAGGTTATATTTAAGTTTTCATACATGCGCATTGAAATACACATATTAATATAATTGTGTCTTATCTGTCGTACTCTCGTGCACGAGTTGACTTCCGTCGTAAACGAAGAACAAGTCCAGGGCTTTCTCCTACATAGTCGTAGTTCAAATTAGAATGGCGCGTGTTTTCAAGGAATAGAAAGTATTTGCTCTTAAAACGCGTTTCAAATTGTGCTTTGGACAGACTCGTGTTAATTTCATATGCCAAAGACTGTGTCTTCTTCATGAATTTGGACACGCTAGATGAAGCGTCAAATGAACTTTGTTTTCGGGAAAATAGACTGTAGAATTAAATGCAGTATGTTTTCTCTCTGCTTTAGATTTTGACAGCGTCAACGCTCTATGAGTTGCCTTTCACTTGTGAGTAAACCTGAGGTATGTTACGATCGTGTTTGCAGTGCTCCTACCCCAAAAATACCTTTCTAAATTAACTAGGTCAACATTAAAGAGAATCGCGTGAGTCCTGGCCCAAAAAACAATGCGTGAATTATAATAAAGTTCGTTTTTCAGGAAATGATGGAAATAATAAAATTATCATTAAAAGTGTATAATAAAGGCAAAGCGCAACAGTGGGAAATTCTGAACACTGTCGTATATTTTGCAAGTTGAATCTTATGAAATTTCCTGTCAGTTTAGTAAAATACTCTTTAACACTTAACACAATTATATTTCGAGAAGTAAAATGTGGGAAACTTTATGGAGAAATAATACAAAAACGCGGTAAATGAACTGCGCGTCTAATGATATGAATTCGCATTGTGGATGCCAGAAACTTAATGAAGATTGTACATTTGTTCCTTTAAATTTTTTTCAGGACAGACTCTCCTTCCTGAGTACTTCTCTACATAACAAGGAGCCTCCAGAAAAAAATATGATTATTAAGAAATGAATCGGTATATCTATTGCATAATATGTACATTTAATACGAAGAACTGCCGTCAACACCGAATCTTACAATAATATTAGCTCTATTATTGACATTCTTTTGAATTTAAAATAGAAGTGTTGAACATAATGTGTTTTCTGTGCTATATACCAGCGCCGGAAAATATTATCCTCGACATAATATCATTCTGATGAATGATTTCCACTAGTATGAAATTATTATAGATACTATGATAGTATGATATTAGATTATTTTCTTATACAGACTTTAAGGTACTCATTAGAACATAATTCATTATCTTAAGTCTTTCAAAACCTACTCCTATATAATTTTGAAGTTGTTTTTCCTTGCAATCAGAGGAGAAAGTTGACTAATGCTAATGGAAAACCGTCAGGAAGCTGGTGTAACGAATGTTTGAAGTAAGTGCAGAGTAAAGAAAGTTGCCAAATTTCCGGGGCGCGCATGCGTGAGTGCGTGCGCAGTGGCACGAAGGAGGGTCGAAGGCGAATACTCAAGGCCTTCTGCGAATGTTCGTGCGGGCAGATGTGTAAACTGCAGTAGAGTTCGGTAACACGTCACACTCCATGACCTCACGCCGAACAATAAGGAATTAAAATGTTTCTTTGTAGCTTCCATGGGACGCGTTGTGGCAGGGTTCCTGTAAACTTCATTAGATAATACGAACCAGCCACATTTAGAGGAAGTTTTTCTTTAAAGTCACCTCACAAGAATCAAGAAAAAGTTACTTCCCACAA